CCTCCCTACCCTACCTACCCTACCTACCCTACCTACCCTACCTACCCTACCTACCCTACCTACCCTACCTACCCTACCTACCCTACCTACCCTACCTACCCTACCTACCCTACCTACCTACCTACCTACCTACCTACCTACCTACCTACCTACCTACATTGATGCATACATACATACATACATACATGCATACATGAATCCATGCATACATACATACATACATACATGCATGCATGCATGCATGCATGCATGCATGCATGCATGCATGCATGCATGCATGCATGCATGCACACAAGCATACAGACATACATACATACATACATGCATGCATACATACATACAGGCGTGCAGACACTCATACATGTCGTGCACATATGGAGAGCCACATAGAACAGAATCCAAGGCTATGGGTTGAGAAGTTGGTTGATGCATAGGCACGAAAGCATAGCCCGATGGATGTAACTGTAACCTGCAGAAGCTTCTCGTGAGAATGGCTCTTCGCGCTTTAGTAATCGGTGCACGCACCTGTGCAGGATACATTCCAGGAAGTTGCCGGCAATTTACATGCGCGGGTGCTTGGATGTTCAGGGTTCCCAGTCTTCTGCATTCCAAAGAGATCCAGGCTTGGGAACCAAGGAATTCAGCATATCCACTCGCCATCTTTAGCAAGTGCAGATGATTGTTGCTCAGGCATTGAAGGCTGTCTAGCTGGGCATGTATTCAGTGCGAAATTGTGGACTGGCTCCAGCTCGGCTGCTATAGAAGACCATGAGACATTCCCAATGCAGACCACAGAAAGCCTTTCTCACAAATCCTCCACAGCCTTGGAACAGATCACATGAACGCTTCCGTTTGGTTGTTTCTGGATTCCGGAGCACTGGGCAAAGATCAGCTGAGGACCTTGGCCTGTTAGAACCTCCCAAAGGCGACATCAAGGACAGCCTTGAATGCTCCTGATGTTGAGATTTCAGCTTGATCTTGCATTGAAAAGCATGTCAGGCCTAGGCACCCGAAGCTTGCAGGACATGCAACTCACCCTATGCCCTCGTTGGCACTTGAGCAAGCATGCTTTCCGTAGCCAAGGGCACTCCTACGGCAGATAGCTGTCAAAGTCTGGATCGGCGCAGGAGTCGAAGACGATTGTTGTAAACTTGGATGCGCCTCTTGTGCTGCAAGATCTGGTTTAGGCCCGATTCGAAATTGCACTTCTGGAGCAAAAGACGTACTTGTTCGAGGGACTTTATTTATCTGGAGTTCGGTTGGCTGAGGAACCACGAGTTCGATGGTCTGCTGAAGGACCCCGCGGTTAAGATACTTGCATGCCGGCTTTGATGTAATGCGTACATGTTAAGACTTGCACGTGCATGATGAGCCAAGACTAGGCCTTTCCTATGTACAAGTTGTGCATTGTGCCTTGCACAAACTGGGCCTGGAAGCAATGCTGCCATCAGTGGGGCTGCAAAACTTGTCCTGCATGCTGTGGAAGTGGAAGCATTGCACACGCGTCCCGAAAAGCAGGAACTCGTGTATTACGCGCCATTCGTCACCAAGAACTCTTATCTTATCGCCGGGCTCTGAGTTCCCGCGGCCCGAACCGAAGCAGAGCGGCATGGCAATGGAATTGGCACGTGGAGCGAGCGAGCGAGCGAGCGAGCGAGAGAGAGAGAGCAAGAGAGAGAGAAACAAACAAAAAACAAAAACATAGAAGGATAGGGGGGGGCTACGCCTTCACCATAGCCCTGGCGAAAGAACGAGACAGAGAGGCCTCGGGGACGGGAGAGGAAGAATAACAAGAAGGCCAGACCACCATGGCACTGCATGTCATGACAGCTCTGCGGCGGCCAGCCATGTTGATGCGAGTCGTTTCACATATGCAGGCAGTCCTCCAGCAGATACTGTGGTGACACATGTACCAGTGTACCGTGTACCATGTCTGCAGGAGTACCACAATTCACCAAGATATGCAGATCCCAAGTTTTGCGCCCTTGAGAAATGAGCCATGCTGGTTGCCAGTCCTTCGATCCCCAAGCCTTGAACTGTGCGATCCTCACGTTCCAAGTTCAATCAAATCAAGCTGCGGCCCAGTTTCCCACTTAGCCTGTTTGAGGAATGCTCTTGAACGAGACATAGGTGTCAGGTAGAGTCCTTCCTGGCAGCCGTTGGCACGAGGTGCAGGATGCCAAACTGGACAAGATCTGGGGCGCCGCAGGTCCTACTGCCGCGATGCAGGCACTGCGGCCAACTCCAGTGGTCTCACCGCAATGAACAGGCTCTTGACAACGGCGGAGCTGCAAGCATTGTTAGATACGCATGCTGAATGCCTCAGCTTTCAGAGCAAGGACCCGACCCCTTCGGCTTCCAGGGTTCCTGAAACGAAGGCATCTTTGTTGTGAGATTAGTGGGACGTGACTTACTTTAGTCTGCGTGCCTAAAGATGTTGCCCAGCCATCCAATCGATACGGTAGTGGAAGGTATTGCAAATTGTGCAGTCTTCACATGTCTTCACCCTGCAGATCCACTGCAAACGAACAAAGGGATGCGTGTGTGTGAGTGTGCGCACGCAGTGCACACGCGTAAGCGTGATATGATGCTCCCATAATAAGATTTGTCAACATCAGCTCGAACATCATATCCTAATGGCTCTGAAAGAGCTTTTGCTGCAGGCTTTTCTGCGGCTCTGTCCTCCTGGTGAGTTCGTGGTCCCTCGGCTGTGCTGAATCTCGATTAACTTCCATTCCTGCTCCTCGGATGTCCAAACACTCCTTCTTGCGGAGGTCGAAGATGAGCTTAAGTTGCTCGGCTGAGTTCATCGTGGCCGAAGCCCTTATGCGTTTAGCCCTAGATATCCAGCTGTAGTTTATGGGATCTGCGATGCGATGCATTTGCCAGTGTAAGTCTTCCGCGGTATGGTCAACAAAGACTTTGTTATGCGACCGCGTCGAACAGGTCTGGAAGTCTAGAGATAGGTCAGGAGATCAAAGACAAGGGAAGCGGTGCATCGAGATGCCTTGCTAGTGTGGTCACCTATTGCAGAGTGTGCCTCATGGTTGCCCACCGCCCGCGAGTTTTGCATCTGCCGTTTGCCATGCCCTTGCAATCTCCGGGCGCCCCCTCCTGCACAAGACACGTCAAGCTGTCGGGTTTGAATGTTTGTGCTGTGCGGTATATGAAATCCACAAGGTTCCATGCCTATTCCCAGCACATCTACCTTCGAAGAGCTCAAGTGACAGTGCCTCACTCTCACTTCATGCAAGCAGCCATGAAGGTCGCGGCTGGCACCGCCTAGTAGCAGTCACCAGTTGCTGTTGTGCAGCAAAGATGCGGTAGAGGAAAAATAACACTGTCTTTTCCACTTGTGCCAGTCTTAAGCTTGTGCCCACCGTGAGGAGCAGCATGCGTGGACGCTTCGGGCTGGGCACTGTCCATAGCCTTGAGCCGATTTCAGTTGTAGACTTCAAGCCCAGAAATAGCGACATCAATATGCCATGACAACCGCCACAACAATCACATATAGAGGGGGTTTTAAGTTAACTAGACACTTTACTGGAGCCTTTGCAGGGTGAGCCCTCGACAATCGCAAGCATCCAGTGCATGATGCATGCCAGTGCTGCGGGTCTGCGGCATTTCGGGTTTTGGGAACAAAGTGTTAGCACTTTCTGCGTTGGGGAAGAGGAGCTCGGTTGGAGCAGGGCAGGTCGTCTGCAGCAACCCTGAAGCCAGATGTTGAGTAACTTTCACCGCATCCTGACGCCGTTAATTATACAGCCGTGTAAGACCTCATTTTGCCCCCTATAACGCCTCATATCATAGGAGCCTTGTTCTGAGTGAGCTTTGCAGGTCCAGGCACGAGAGACAAAGCTGCGCCTTCGCGATGCGGAGGCTCGACGACCCGACGAGGAACACGAGCAAAACAGAAGGTAGCGTCGTGGCAATAGAGCTGATGTCCATGGAGTAGCTGTGGCGACATAGTTTTCGTTTGCCAAGGGTCGAGGTCCAGAACTTCAGGGCGATGGTGCAACATTTGTTGAATGAAGCCTCGAGGAGTGCAACTACTCGTTTCTCTGCAGGCAAGGCAACTTGCCCTTCCTGCACCAACCCCAAGCGTCGGAAACCTTCGATTGGCCGGCATTTGTTGTTCTCTTCGGTTGGAGTCGCAGTCGACCGTCCGTCTATTCGATCCCGGCATCTGGGTCTTGCTTTTTTGAAAGCTTCTCTTTGCTACTGGAGTGCTTTGGCAGGCTCTAACAACTCACAAACAAACTTGCCACAATTAACCGCGATGGTTGCAGGGATTCATCGGCCAAAATGCGGAGTTTCTCGGTGGCAACCAGTATCATGTAGCCGAGTTTCGTTTTCAAACCGGAGATCAACATAAAATCCCACGAATATGCTGCTCATATGTTGTTGCTCCAAGCGTTATGCTCCCAGGCCATAACCACGTACTACCACTGTACATAGTACATTGGTACAAAGATCTGTTCATATGCATATGCACATATAGCCTGCACACGCGTATGTGTGTATGTGTATGTGTTTATGTGTCGAAGTATCATGTTTTCACCTATTTGCCTTGTATTACATTCATATAGCTGCGTGAAGTATGTACATCTGTGAAAACAGGTGTAGTAGATACACGAACATGTGTAGGCATGTGTATGCATAAACAGCTGTGTATGTATGTCTGCTTGTATGTATATATATATATAGTTTAACATGTTGTAACTTAACGAAATGTAGCATAACATAAGAGCATACAGTAATATAGTATAATGTAATACAAGAAAATAAGATCTATCATGACATGCTACAGAATATTATATATATTATGTATATATATATATATATATATATATATATGTACACACATGCACATACATATGTATATACCCACTCTCTCTCTCTATATATATATATATATACATACAGGCACTCTATATATAAAATATATACATATATGTATGCACGCATGTGTGTTTGCGTTGTTTTTTTTTATATAAGTAAGTAACTAAATTAGAATGTGAGATTAAGAGAGAGGGTTTTTTCTTTTCTTCGGTGCCTTGGTGAACATAGGAAATCAAGCCCATCGTGCTGTGCTATTGGCCACACTGTTGTGTGGTTCCGGCCAGTAGGTTGCCGGAATTTTGCCTGGTGTTGACCCGGAACACCTCTTCCACTGTGTGGTCCCGGCTAACCAGCCTAACCAGCATATGTATGTATGTATATATGCATGTATGTATGTATGTATGTATGTATATATATATATATATGCATGTGTGTATGTATGTATGTATGTATGTATGTATGTATGTATGTACGTACTGTATGTACGTACCTAGGTATGCATTTAACCATGTACGTGTGCACAGGTTTATGCATACATGTATATATATATATATGCATACACACCTATGCTACATGTACCTACACACACATATACAAGTACATATATATATATATATATACATATACATACATGTCCACATGTATACATATACATACAAGCACAGTATAGACACATGCAGACATACATGCATACGGACATGTAGACAGGCGGACAGACAGACAAACAGACAGATGGACAGATGGACCGACAGACATACCCGTTACAGAACCGGGAACTGGAACCTTCATCAGCTCATGGGCGTGCAGCTTTCCGGGCCTCATCCATCGAAAGTTTTGAATGAAATGGTCATAGAAGTAGCACATCCATCAGATGAAGACGATGAGAGTTCAACAGTCGATGTTCTTGTCGCGGTATGTGGTGATCTTATTAAGTGAATGAGGATTGGCGGACGCAGTTCTCAGAGGTGTATCACGTGCCATCTCCCCTCGGATCCCTGAACTGTGACTCTTGGCGTCATCATGACCCACTGCCTCTGTCATTGCACCGCTGAGGATCGTTTCCCGAGCAGAGCGTTTCTCTTTGCCAGCAGAGCGACTGTTGCAGGCCATCGGTTTAAGGCTTTTAGGCTTGTGAGATTTGTGGTGGTGTCACTTCGGAGACAAACTTTCACTCAGCTCGAAGGTCTGGGGGTTCGCGGCCTGGGCGCCAAAAGTTCAATGTATTTTGTGAGACTTCGCAAATGCGGCGACACAAGCTTCAGCCAGAGATTTGAGAGGGAGGTGCAGCTGAGCGGATGGTTTCAAGACTTCGAGATCAAGATTGGGGACCCGCAGACCAAGTAAACTCCACTGCATGTCCCTGAGTTCACTGCCTTGCAAGTTCATTGAGGCCATGGAACAAGCTCGGCGGGCGCAGGAGAGTTTCCGATTTCGAGTCTCATGAACCAAGGGTCCTGAGCTCCTGCTGCGACATGCCTTTGACTGAGGCTTGAAACTGCAACTCGTTGTAACTGGGGTCCAGACTTCGCGCCGAAGATTATAACGCCCGAAACTTAAAGTCTGAAAGCTTCTCGAGCTCTGAAATTCCGGATGGTACTTCGAGAGGCCCTCTCACGCTCCCCCCCCTCTCAAGCTCTCCATGTCTGAAGCAGGAGCTCGACTTCGACAGTATCCCGCAGCGTTGTAGCCTAAGATTAGTGTCCGGGTTTTTCCGCAGACTGGCATGGGTTGAGATCTATCTTACGATTTGGGATTGAAGGACCTTATAGGGTTCCGGTTGCCGTCATTCTGACTGCGCCCAGTCGGGAATCATGAAATGAAACGACAAGATAATGGTGCTGGCACCGCATTCACCTGAATGGCTGGAGCCGCGAATGCTGTGAACTCATAGGTTGCTGAAGAATGGGTGTTTTCTCATTTATTCTTGAACTCACGAAACTCAGTGGGAACGACTGGGCAAAGCAGGCGCTATCACTTCTAATCGGTCTAAAGTCAATATCGTTGGTAGTTCCGTTTTGGACATGCACTGAACTTACGATCGTGGCCTGCATAACTTGTGCCTCGAACTCTGGTCGAAGCTGAGACCCTATACCCAAGCGAGCTGCTGCAGAAAGGCTCAGCCGTACTCGCGGCCGCAGCTGCTTTCGCTGGGCCGCTGAGCCATCAGGACCATGGTTGGAAAATGGTCGGAGGTTTCAAACATAGAGATCAGTTCAGGACTTTAGGCTTCGGGGGGAAGTTGTAGATCTTTCTGACAGCTGGTCAAGCAAGTCAACCTTATATGAGTTACTGCTACGGCCTCCTCTAGACTCTATACAGCTCCAACGTCAAGCTTTCATTCTTAATTCTGGCCGATGCAGGGGGACTCAGCGGCTAAGGACAACAGAAACGAATCAACAATGTGTGTACCTGGTGAGCAGTGTCCGACATAGGGCTTCAGCGCTTCGGCAAAAATAAGTTCGAGTCAGCATGTCCAGCTATCACAAGAAAGTTGAGCAAAGACAAGCAATCATGCTATGGGCCACTATAGCTGTCCTGTTGTGCACTCTGCGTCGCCCTTTATCAATGGTCAAGCCCACGGGAAAGCTTGAGAGGGATGGCGTCAGGACCGGCAACAGTTTCTCGACAGGCGGGCTCCAAGTGTAAAGAATGTTTCTGGTTTGCGGCATGAAAAGCCAGCAATGTCGCTGAAGCCACAGCATTCACTTGCTCATGTTTGAGCAAGGTGCGAAGGTACCATTAGGGCAGTCCCACTGTGAATGCCTAAGTTCTATTACTCATCGGCAGTCGTAAGCTTTACCAGATGAAATAAACCCGTTCCGGAATGACATGCATCGCGGCAGCCGCGGCAGAGCTTGGCAGTGAGTGAGTGCATGCCACTGCCGAGGCAGTTCCAGCGAACTCTGGTTTCAGTCAAAGTCAGTATATGTTGGCGAGTTGTTCAATGCACTAATCAAACGTTCAATTTTGTGCGTCGCCAACGGATGAGACGGACCAAGTCGTGAGCTTTCAGTGCTCCGGTGATGCCGACTCCAGCCCCACTCTAACTGTTTACGCTTTGAACAGGTACACTTACAAACCCTGGCTGATTATTGCCCTTGCTCCTTGACCACGAACCAGCCCATCCGAAATCTCATGCGGCAGGCTCATGGACCACCTTTCGGGGCGGTGCCTTGGATGTGTAGAAGGGCCTCCAAGTTCTTGGATGTCGGGGCCGTCGCATGTCATAAGAGTTTCGATGTTGATTTTGTCGTTTCTCTCTTTGCTCTGGGCTTCTGTTTGCTGGCTCAGATTCTTTGTAGGTCCTAGCAGGAGCTGAGGATGTGATGCCATGTTGACCCTTGCCAGGAAGCTGCCTCTCGAACGGACCTCCTTCGCTGCGGAGCTGGCCACGGAGGCCGAGGATCTTCTTTTGTTCTTTTTTTCCTCAGCTGCAGCCGCTGT